ACAAGCTAACTTCAATATCACTTTATTAATATTGCATTATTCATAATTGCATTTGTTCACATCTCTCATATACTCTCGTCTTGATTACCTATCAATATGAATTCTATAAATGTATGAATAAGTAATAAACTCTATTATTATTACTAGATCTTAGAACTATTTTCCAGATTAATTCATTTCTATAATATATTCTATAATATATTACTGGATTCTGATTTTATTCATTTATTCTTAAATAAATTATATTTTATTTACAGACTGTATATAGTAATTTAGAAATTAAAGGCAAATTCTATTCTTTACAAATAGATTTTAACTATAAAATATTTTTTTGTGTTCCATAATCATAATAAAATTTTGTAAGTCTGTTAAAAATCAGAAATGATTCTCCTTACTCTTTAAAAAAAGGGAATGACTTCTAGGTCTTGACATAAATTAAATACGGCTAGACATAGCCATCTATTTAGTGGCTTGTAATCAAATTTTTATCAACACAGTATAATTGGTTAAATATTGTAAGAATCACATTTTCATACTTGACAGAGGCAAATTTTGTCCTCATAATATCCACAGGGCAGAAAAAAAATTTATAAAATGATCTGTTAATAAATAAATTGATTATAAAATAATTAAATTATTTTATTTTAATTTTAAAATATCTTAATTTCNAGTCTGTTAAAAATCAGAAATGATTCTCCTTACTCTTTAAAAAAAGGGAATGACTTCTAGGTCTTGACATAAATTAAATACGGCTAGACATAGCCATCTATTTAGTGGCTTGTAATCAAATTTTTATCAACACAGTATAATTGGTTAAATATTGTAAGAATCACATTTTCATACTTGACAGAGGCAAATTTTGTCCTCATAATATCCACAGGGCAGAAAAAAAATTTATAAAATGATCTGTTAATAAATAAATTGATTATAAAATAATTAAATTATTTTATTTTAATGATAGAATATTAACAATAATTACTAATAAGTAATTATTATTGCTTACAGAATCAATTAAAAAGATTTAGCAGTACTTTCTGACACCACCAATATGTTTAATTAAAGAAGTACAAGAAAACTGCATAATTGCTCTATAAATATTATTAGTTACTCTATAATATACATTTATCATAAAATTATAAACTATGTTTAATGAAATTACTAAAGATATTTCATGTTTATTACAATTTCTTATGAATTTAATTTGTTTCACATATGATAATATATACATACATACATACATACAATCTTTCATTTTGCATTAATGTTTATAAAATCATAAAAGTTTAAAATAAATAATTTTTTATTTAGTTTAAATAATTGCAATATCTTTTTCAACTCATGTTCAATTCAATTCAAGGTAAATGCATTTACCTTGAGTTGAGTTGAACATTTTTTAATAAAATTATTGTACAGATAACCTAAAAACACAAGTAAGACTGATTACTGATTTCCAGTTAGCATCAACTTTTTAAAAAAACAGAAGTAATTAAAATAGAGAATGCTGAATTTGGTTGATGGTTGAAACAGAAAGTATGGAATGGGACTCACTGAAATAAGATGCAATGAAGTGAAATAATGAAACAGTTTTTTTAGGAGTTTTTCTTTCTTATGCATTTGATAATCAAATTCATATCAAAGATTCTTAATGGAATTAAGATCAGAAATTGAATCAGTTGGTTAATGTTTTGAATGTTCAAACAGACTTATTATAATATTAGGTTGTTGCAAATGAAAGTGCCAATTTTTACTTCTGACTTTGAATGTTTATTAATTTAATTTAAAACTTACATATTCAATCAAAATTATCTCCACCAACATTAATATACTTTTCCCAATGCAACAGAAATGCATTAATGCTAATTTGATAGAAATCATGAGAGTGAGAAGTTGAACTACAGAGTTGAAAAGTTTAAATTTTAAAAAAACAGCTATTTCATTTGCAACAACCCAATCTATGCAATATAGAGAAGTATTATTCTGTTGATAAAAGATTTAGACTAGCATTTCTCAAACTTTTTGCTCACTCAACCCAATAGATTTGTTTGTAATGATTCCATGACCCAAATGTTTATAATATAAAATTTTTAAAAAACCTGGTAAATTGAAGTTACTGATTATTATACAACAAAATAAAATTATGTATTATTGATAATAACTTCTATGTGTGAAATGTAACATTAATTACATTTCTATTAAGAGTGGCTCAGGTCAATGTTAATTTGTAACAAATAAATTTTAATAATAAGAACTGAAATATTAGCTATAGAATAAATGTTTTATTGATTTCAGATCAGTGATCCCATTATGTTGCAGTGATGTCAGTAACTTCATTTAGTTTATGCGTGACCATGAAATTTCCCTTAAGTTGCATTTTAAAATATTTGGCAAATGACATATTTTAAACTTATTACTTCATTAAATTTAAAATTTAAACTTTAAAAAAAAATAACTGCATTGTATCACTTATATAACAAATTTAAAAAAGTATTTCCATAGTGACCATGTGACATTCTATTATACAATTGGAAATAACAATCTAACAAGCCTGTTATTTATAAAGTGTTATTGTTCATATTATATATACATACAATTCATCTTTGTTTAACAATGTGGAATTAAAAAGACTCACTATTTTGTCCAAAAAAAGGGGGGGGAGTACTAATCAGGTAAATTCTACATCTAAAAGAATGAGAACAACTGCTGTGAAGTCTGACTTGAGCAACATTGAATAAGAACAACTTTGTCAAAGGCTCAGAAACAGCATCACAATGTCGAGCTCAACTTGAACAAAATAAATTGACAACAGCGTCTTCTCAACTCTTCAATCTCTACTCTCTCATAAAAAGTATTCTGTTATGCCTGACAAGGAATTTATAGAAGTAATAATAAAAACATTATACTATATTTCCTCATGTATTTACACACCATGTTTACACATGTACCATTGAGTATATTTGATTATGAACAAATTAACTTAGATAAAAATAGAAATACAGTAGAGCACTGATTATCCGAATGTCGATCAACCGAAACATCGGTTAACTGAAAATGTTCCAGTCAGACTGTGTCGTGCTGAATCAAACGTTTTTGATACTAGATTAACTTCTAAAGTATAATTTTTTTTTGTTTTTATAGTTTTCAATATATTTATTTCGTTTGTACAAAATAAAGAAATAATTTTTAACAATACAATAGTCATGATTATTATTATAAAAATTTTCATTAGGCTTAAAATTGATGAAAATTCAACACGAAGCGACACACAACAGAGAAAAATTTAAACATGGGATATATTAATATACTATTATTGGGATATACTATATTAATAATGCATTTTTTCGTACATAATTGGTTACCTGAAAAATCAATTTTCTGAACAATCCCAGTCCCCAATTGATTCGGATAATCAACGCTCTACTGTATTATCAATAGTATCTGTATTGTCTTAGTAATTATTGTTTTATTTTTAAATACGTATTAAATATGTTTTTATCTATTCCATCATTAATTTTGTTTGCAGAACTTATTTCAGATAAATAATTCCCACATATATCTTAATAAAATACTCGAATTTCTTTTTGTTAATCAATGAAATATTGATGTTATTTTCCAGCTTGCATTCATTCATTTCTCTCTCATGTAATAATGGACTAAATGAAACAATTAACCATAAAAAAAACCTGATATTAAATTATATCACACCACACTGGGATATAAGTAATAACAAACACAGAACCAATTTCTGGTCTATATAAACAAAAAAACAATCTCTGCACAAACGTCTTCTGTTTTCTAACTCCTTATGAGTTCTTCAGGTGTGATATTAAAATTTTTCCTTTTGTAATTGTTCAGGAAATATATTATATAGATTATAATGTTTTATGGCTTGATAAATACAAATCTACACATTACACTTACATACAAAAATAATAAACTTCTCTTAAATCTTAGATGAGAATATTATTTATATATATCTTTTCACAACAGATGAATTTAGAACATTCATTGCAGGATTTTTATTGAGGTACATTAATAATATTACATAAAAATTAATATTTGGAATATTTAATAGGATATGTAATAAATAGAAGGAATATTTGAGATATTTAAGAGAAAAAAAACAGAAAACTATAACAAAGTTTGATATATTTGTATGTTGGATTATGGTAAAATTTTATTATACTTCAAATAAATACTTATTCATTAATGTTATATATATTTTTTTGTTTTTATGATAATATATCTCTATTATATTTGAGTTGTAATTTCATGAAAAAAATTTTTCATGTATAGGAATATGATAAATTTTGTTCTATTCTATCTTTTTTGCATTCTTTATAACTTCAACCTATTGTGTCCATTATCATGTAAAAAAATGTTTAGTGAGTAGATTATTCCATTAATCTGCTCACTAAACATTTTTATGATACTCAAAGAGAATGGAGTTTTATTGAAAGGAAAAGACCAAGTTAGTCATCACAAGAAAATGATGAGATTGGAAGACTATAAATCCTTCAATTAGCCTTTAAAAGTGTAGAAATCAACATTAAAATACATAACTTCTAAAAGGTAAAAAAAAAATCATTGCTTTCATTGCAAATCATGTGCTTTCATTAAAAATAAGCAGAACAAAAATTAAAAAATAGTGCATTTTAATTATTTAATTGCATTACTTTTAGTAGCTTGTGAAAGACAATATAATTTTAACTAAAATATGATATAATGAACAGATTAATGAAAATTTATGACTTATATTAATTCCAAATAATATGTTTTTATTTTGTTACAAAGAAAGGAATGTTTAAATAACATTATTTTAAAATTGTTAACATATTTATATTTGAAAATCTTCTAGTATATGTAACTTCATGTAAATGTAATAAAAACAGAATATGAGTTATATATTTTAAATATTCAAATTTTATTTGAGACAGTATATGTTTGTAATGTGTAAAATACTCAAAGACATCATACATATAATTACAGTACATTAACTATACCTTAATTTAAGTATTTATCAAGATAAATTATCATCAGGAGGTTCTTCATCACTATCAAATTCTACTCCTTCTTCTTTAATCCATTTTCCAGTTTTGTCTTTTTTCCAACCAGATCTATTTAATTTTTTAAAATAAAAATACATTATTAAATAAAAATAGAATATTTACTACAGAAAAATCTTAAAATAAAAACATAAATTTAACTGCATTGTATCACTTATATAACAAATTTAAAAAAGTATTTCCATAGTGACCATGTGACATTCTATTATACAATTGGAAATAACAACCTAACAAGCCTGTTATTTATAAAGTGTTATTGTTCACCTATGTACATACANTATTTTATGTAAAAAAATTGTGAAAATTTAATTCTGTATTGCTCATATAGAAATTATATTTGTTAAAAAGTGAAATTAATAGAAATATCTTTCTCATTGAGGTCATCAAATAAAGCAATTGTAAAATAGCAAAATATTTAATCTTATACTCCTCAGTTATAAAACACCATTATTGTGTGAGTGATCTATGTTCTGTACAATTTGTGAATATTTTAATTGCTCATGACTTAAAAATGTATTGTAGACACTTTTTTACAGGTCAATTTATTTTGTGCCAATTTTCTTATTTGTTATTTAAAAATATTGCATGTATAGGTAATTAATAACATGTTACTTCTCAATAATGAAAAAATTAAGCAAACTATTTAAATAATTGAAAAATTAATACACTTGAGAATAATTACAGAACTTTTTAGTCCACAATTACAGCATAATTTATTTTATAACAAGATTAAAGTTCCTTATCCAAAATCCATATCATAACTGGAAAATAATATTTTAAAATCACTAATTATAATTTAGTAGAAATTTCCTATATAAAATTTATGTTATAAATTTTATATAGGAAATATAAAATTTATAAAATTTATGTTATAAATTTTATATAGGAAATTTATATAGGAATATATCTGTTTTTTACATCATATCAAATGAAATAATTAAAATGCATATTCAAAAATCAATTCATTCTGGTTATGTTTCTGAATTCATTTATTTTAATCCATATAATTCAGAAAATACATATTAAATTTCTGATTCTTTATCACAATATACAGAACTGATTTATGGATTTATATATGTTTTATAATTAATAACAAGTTATTTACCTATTGGCAGAAGATGAATATTAAATTTCAAACATTTTTTAATTATAGAAATTTATAAAATGTTGAAGTTTAATATGTTTAATTTTTAACTATATTCTATATTAGTGATGTCCAAACCTGCCCACAGCATGCATTAATTCAGTCTGTGACATATCCGACACATCCTTTTTATGAGTACAACACTAGTGTGTTGCATGTACTTTGATTTTATTAGAAACTTTTTATGAATATATGTGCATTAGTTACAATATAGCATATTTTACACTAATTACTTAAAATTACATGTTGAAATACAGTTTCAGAGAATTGGGAGTGGTACCCTATTCGTACTACCATGCACATCTATGCCATTAATGGTAATAATCTTGTTAACCTTTCAACAGTGAGATAGTCAGGTATGGTGCTATCCCTAAATAGTGGAGAATAAATGTAGGAAATTTTTAAAGTATTTTTCCATGCGATTTTCTCATTATCGTTTTGGAAAAAGATTTTGTAAACAGTTATGTCTAGTAAAGAAAAATCTTTTTTTTATTGCTACATAATTAATATTTTATGTGAATTTTTGTTTCGCAGTAGTTTTTGGCGATACCCCCAAAAGAATTTAACAGATATATCCGTCCCTCACCACTGCCACACAATGCCCTAGATGGATATATCTGTCCCTCACTGTTGAGTGGTTAACATGTTTTGTTCTTCCTAGGCACAGTGGGACATTATAAACTGTACAAATCCAGTTTGTATGTACTTGGATTATTTTTGTACTACATTTTGCACATCTCAAGGGAATTCAAGCAGGTTGATGTTTGAACCTTTGAGAAGCAATGAATAGGCCACTTGTTATTCCAAAGAAATGGAGATGTTGATGCTGGTAGACAGATGCTACTTCTTTTTTGGAAGAAAGATATATTCAGCCAAATCATAGCTTAATGTTGATTTTTCATTATCAGATGTATCACCAGCAAATGAATTACTATCAGATGGTATGTCTTCTGTAGAAGACAACACTGATAGTTCACTCAAAATGTCTTCATAATCAAGCTTTCTAGCATTTTGTGTATGACTTGTCTTAGTGTCTACCTAAGCATCAATTATTAGAATACTGATGAACACTCAATTGTAAACCTAATTATGCATAGCTTACATGCAGAAAACAACACTAATTTGTATTCTGTTACAACATTAACAAATATTTAATAATATTTAAAACAAGTCTAAAAACCCAACAGAACAAGTAATTATAACAAAAGAAATAAATGAATTCAAAAAATAAGAACAAAGGTTCTTATGGCAGTAGAGCTATTGGTGAGATCATATGTCTCACAATACCATGCAGCATGGTGACATGAATTTAGTACCATCATAAAAATAGATTTATTTCTTCAAAGTACTAAACAGTTGACAAAATATTGCACAGAAAGAACTAATCAAACAAAACTTACCAACAAAAGCTGAAAATAACATGTCAGGTACACTAAAAAAATCTGAAAAACTATAAACAGTTTTTCAGATTTTTCAACATGTCCAATGGAAGCCAATATAAAACAAAAGGAAATTCACAAGCTCTATATAGCAGCTGACAGCCAGTGCCACTGGCATTTGTCAGACAATAGCATTTTTCATCTAAAAAGTGTTATAATGCAGGATCTAAACCAAATTGCTTAAAAAAGGACTTTTTTTCACTGGTACTAAATAATTACCACTGTGCTTCATACCACTATAAACAGGTGGTACTTAATGAGTACCATCATGCTTGAGTTATAAATGATAGAAATATGCCTACTTTTAGCATATATGGAATATAATAAATATTTGTTCTAGTTTTTAAATATAAATTAACTTAATACTGAGAATGACATTGAAATTCTGTCATCTTCACAACTCCATATAATTTAAACAACATTTTAACATAAAAAAAAAACTAATATCAACAATGTCAATTATATTGATAGCAATATTTTTTAATAATCTTATACAATTATTGTATTTATTATATAATCTATTTTTCATAGATGGAATAGATGAAAATAACTTTTAAAAGTATTTTTATCAAATCCCAAGAGATTAATAAAAAAATAAATTGAACAATTAAAAAATAGATATTAATTCAAAAAATTAAAAATATCATGTTTACTTTTTTATTTTATATATACTGCTGTTCAATTTATGTAGAGCAAATCACTATACAAAAATGAAATAAGGAAGCAAAAATTTCATTTCCAGTAACTTTTTTGTGACTGGAGGATCAACATCTCTTTGATGCTGCATCAAGATGACACTGTGTCCTGTTCTGCAAACAAAGAAGCCACAATGGCTGTTTATTATTTTATTTGTTAGGGCATAGTCTCATGAGCAGTCATGTGCATAGATGGTCAGCTCAGGATGAAGGAGTTCTGTGAGACAGTGTTATGGAATAAAAGCAGCCTGAGACAAGGTAAACAAAATAAATATCCGTTTATTATACTATATGTTATATGATCTACATACTATCAGTAGTAAAAAATAGATATTAAACACTACAGTGATACTGGAGCATTTGTGAGAGAGAAAGAGTTTACATTAGATTACCTGTGTTGTCATAAATATTTGGAGTTAGAAGAGAGCCATTTGTTGATTTTATCCAGTGGAGGAACTGGTGATGACTGCTTGTATGGGCTATTAGTTTTCATATTTAAAATGACAGAATCGGGACAGCAGGTCACGGGAAAGTGTCTCTTTTGACACTGAGAACATGTAGGAAGAGATGCTCCCAAATGTAAAAGTTGATAGATATCACTGCCAACAAAGTTATATTATTTAGTTTAAGTTGTTTAATTTGAAGTCACGGTTCTCACATTTTCAATAAAAACCTGAGATTTCAAACTATTTTCAATATCCATCTTCAGGTTCTTCCTTTCAAATGCAAATTTTAAACCATATATATTTGTATCAGATAGTTAGAATATACATAAATTTTAAGGAATTAAAGTATTTTAATTAAAGATAAAAAGCTGTAAAATAAGAAAATCATAACTATTTTGTATTCTTAAGAGTTCTTTTTTCCTTTTGTATATTTTGTTACTTATCTGTTTAAAACTCATATTGAAAAGAAAATGACCTTGATGATCATTAAAAACAGTCAAAAGCTATAGTTTTTAATAAAAATAACAAATTTTTTGAATAATTTCAATATCAGCTGAGCTAATTAGTTTACTTTTATTTTATTTAATTTTCAAAAAATTTTTAAACAAACAGTTAACTGTTATCTAGAAAAATAATTTTGGATATAAATTTAATAATTACAAATCACAAATATAAATAATAATTTGAAACAGTTAATTATTCCAAATGTTTGGATTCAATATTTAAAAAAACCACTTAAAATTTTTACTAATACATTATTAATTTGTTAACATGTATTCTACTAACCAATGAGCAATTATTTATTGTGACATCATTACAATGCCAAGCTGCAATTTTTAATCATATTTTTAATTTATTTCATTTAAAATGTATGCTGTGCACCTCAAATTAGTATTGTAGTGTCTTGCCCTTGTACATCATACTTTTCCATTAGTAAAGGAGTCATGCCAGTCACCTATTAACTATTTTCAGGGGAAAAGTTTTAAATTGAAATAACTTGACTGGCAGAATTACTATTTAATAAAAAATAAAATACATCTGGATACAAGTCCAATTTTGCTTGCCATGTCCAATCACCAGAACAACTATTTCCATTGCAGAGACAACCTTTCTTTAGAGGCTATGCCTCTGCACAAATATGTAAAACAGTTTAAAATGTCCACAGGTGACAATCCCAACACAATTAAAAATATAATATTTGTTTGTAGAAATGGGCTGGCAGAATTACATTTTAATAAAA